TACTTGTTAGTTTTGAGAGTTTATTTACGCGTGTTTGTAACAAATGAGTTTTTGTTTAGATGATCTGTAACGTTATACATTTGTGCAATCGTTATTGACCGAAGACATCCTTCCAACCGGTCCTCAGTCCTTAGTTCTTACGTCGGAACCGGCTATAGGCCTTGCCTTCTATCTTATGTTAACGACCTGGCTTTGGTTGATATCTTAATTGATTTGGAAATAATTCTAGTAATTATGCTTTTAATAATAATCTTACTTATATTACAAATGCGAAAGTTCAGATGGATGGACGTTTGTTAGCGTTGTTAGCCTAAACGACCGAACGGATCTCGATGAAAGGCATAGAACACTCACTTTTGTTTTTCTTATTTCCACGGGCAGGGTCACGGGCGAAAGCTAGTTTAAAAATAATTTAGAAGCTTAAAAAAAGTTAATGTTTGAGTTAAAGGTACTATCATTTTTCCTATATATAACTATCTTCTTTTTAAACTTCAACCTTATTGTTAATGTTAAAGAGTTTAATTTTGAAGCAGTCCTTAAATATTTTTGTTTCACCACAAGGTTTCGAAGTTCCCTTAAATCATGGTTATCAGTTTTATTAGACGTCGCTATAAATATTATTGGATGAGAATTTTTTTATCAAAATATTTATACTTTATCTAACATCATGATTAGTGTTAATGGCTTATTATAAAACTTTCGTGTAATTTTTATCTGTCATAAATAGATTTTATATGGCCATTAATTATTTTATTACTTCATTTAAGGCGTTCATACTTCTGTCGTTTTTTATACTTACGACTTACGAGTAGCTTCTGTTTTAAATCAAATTTTAACAATTTTATTTTTAGACAATAGTATTTTTACTGTTGTGTTTTCCATAGCTGTAACAACTTATTTATACTAATATTTTAATTATGAATAAGTTTTCCTTGTTTGTAGAAATACTATGGGAAAACCGTGATTGTCAGATGAAATTGTTTTCAATTGGTAATTATAAATATGTAACACTAGCTTTTGCCCGCGACCGTCCGCGTGGATTAAAAAAAAAAACAAAAGTGATTAGCCTATGTGTTCTTCCAGACTGTCCTCTACATCTACATAAAATTTCATCCAAATCCGTTCAGCCGTTTAGGCTACAAACTCTAACAAACATCCATCCATCCATTCATCTAAACTTTCACATTTATAATATTAGTATTGGTATGATTAACACTGGAATAATTTTTTTGTACATTAGTGATACGTAATTTCCTGATAGGTTCACCTCCTATCATAATTGTGACATAACATTTATCTGCTGTACGATATGTTAGTCTTAGGCCCGGTTGGGCGAAGGAGAACATTGCAGGGTTTAGTGGATAGTCCGGCCGAAATTTAAGTCCGTGAGTCCCACACGAAACTGACCCTGCCGCCTCCGCAGCACGGACAGTGCGTAAATGCAATCCCCGCGACAACAAAAAAAAACGATATCTTAGTCTTCAAGTAATTTACTAGTTTTTTTTTTAATTTGTTTTAAATACCAACCGATCGTCGGTAGGTACCAACCAAGGTACAAAGTTGTGGGGAATACACACTTTTATATTTACCATATAATGTTGTAAATCAAGAATTTTAACAACGCTCATAAACTTACAAAACAACAGTAAATCTTGTGATTTGAGGTCGTAATCTGATCTTACGTCGGCTAGATAACGTTAGCGACGGGTCAATGACCCAATTAGGACGTGATGTGGTGACTCATGGTAGTCATATATGCTGTATGAAGAGCGTGTTTTCCTTGAGTATTGTCATTTCAAGGTAATATTAAGAGCGTAAACACTTTTGACTAAACTATCGCACAACTGTTTAGTCGCGCTTTGAGTCCTATGAACTTATATGGAGGTTACACTAATCGGTTTTTAGTTGTGCAACTAAAATGTTGAATAAGCTAAAAATTGACAATCGATATAAACAAAGGAGTGCCCGCATTTAAAGCACGTCCCCATTTTTTTCAGTACATTATGTTTATGGTAGAAAATATGGTAATTGTCTATTATTTTGGGAAAACTGTGTCTTATGCTTGACCTCAAAACGTTAACCGATGATTATGTTCATAATGGATTAGGAAAATATTGACTGCCAGGTGAAAAAGTAAATGTTTTGCCGTATTTTCAACACCGTGTTGTCGACTCCCTGCTGTGTCCATACAGTTGCTACTATGATTCTGTGACTGTTTATTCTGCTATAACGGTGCGGTGTTTGAATGGCACAATTTTCTAGTCAGCACGTGTTCTTATATGAGGAATAAACTTATGTGTAACTGGGTATCGACTGCCGTGATTCTTGTGTGTGCTGTACACTGTTAGCGATGAAATTATTTGTCTTTACAAGTGTGAAATTGTCAAAACACGCCAAATTAATTAAATTGGTTAGTGAATTAGAGCGGGTGAAACCTTTGACTAAACTTTTGAACAACTGTTATACGATTGTCGATTGTTTCGCAGATAATTCTAGTGTTTAGTTTTACAACTAATCGAGTAGTGTGCGCACCTCCATATAAGCTCATAGGAATCAAAACGAAACTAAACAGTTGTCCGATAATTTAGTCAAAGGGGTGCGCACGCTCTTACTTTCTTAGTTTAGCGACACCAGGGAAACAAGCAAGCAGACGCACGTTTTCCACGAAGTAGAATAAAAATGTAAACAGCTTTGATTCAAAACCAGGCATAGGCTGACAGTATTTTAGGTATTCTGACCACAAGCAAGCAGATACATACTTTTTTTCCTCGAGGTAGAAAAAAATAATAAAATATTTTTGATTCTAAATCAAGTATAGGCAGTATCTAAGGTATTCTGACCGGTGAATGACATGACTCACATCTCATTGTGTTAACGAGATGCAGCTACGAAGACAAATCCGTCGTTTTCTTGACACGAATAACTCGACTCCTTTTGTTGCGTCGCGCTGCGGTGACGGCAAACAGCTGGTTACTGTGCAATATAGTACGACAAACTTATCTGGCCCGTTAGGTCACAAGAAAAGATATACCTTTTCCTACTTCCCTATAGACAGCGCACCGGATTTTCGCCCCTCAAATAACTCTGGCATCCGTCATCATTCCCTTCTTGATCATGACACCTTTCACGCAATTCATCCATCTCTTTCTAGGTCTACTTCTACCGGTGTACCTCCACACTTATAACTAACTTTGTCCTTGTTACACGCGATACATACCGATCCCTTTTACTCCTTAATTTCCCAACCACTGAGGCTACTCTGAAACTTCTAATATACTTATTTTGTATCTTATCCATTCTATACTCGCCTAGTTCTGCTGTTTTATTGTTGTCTTTTTATAATGACAAAGAATTTGGAATGCAATTACAAGTGGTGTCAGCTGAGGCAGATGTTGACGCGCATGTCACGCTCCGCTTCCTAATGCCGGAGGGGGAATTGGGGCAGAATTATCCTTCCGTATAACGTTATGGTCACGTTTAATATAGACCAGAAAGTATAGGGTTTTATGCTATTCCAAAATCAATATTGTATCTTGAATTTTTGTTTATCCGCAATATGTTCTGTTTTGTTTTAATTCTCAACATCGCAATAGAATGAAAGAAACTTGATTTATTGTATAGAGGCATGAGAGTAATAATTGTACTGTGGTTCGATCGAATTTTAGTTTTAGCCAGATCATAAATTAAATCAAAACCGAATTTTTGTAACTTGAGATAGAAAATGACTTTTAATACCGAGATAAATAAATAAATGCTCAGTGTCGCGTAGGTGAAACTACTTTAATTCAATTTATATTCATCAATTTAAACATTCTACAATAGCCTAACAGCTTTTTTATGATTCAAGCTAACAACTGTACCGTTAAATTCTAATAAAATTCTCTCTGTTTATAGCTTACCAGCGCTTTTAATAAATACGTAAAACCCGCCTTTTATTGCTTTACTAATGGATGGATAAGACATCGGAAATTCTATTAAAACACTTAAATTCTATAAGCTTAGTTCTACTTCGAAGCATTCAAACATGTGTCTATTTTACTTTTCTACTGTGTTTTGTTTCATCTTTTACTATTTCATCTATATTATTAACTGGCTGATGCTCGCGACTTCGCCCGCGTGATTTAAAAAAAATGTACTATGTTACTTACAGATAAATTTCCTTTCTAATGGTGAAAGAATTTTTAAATTCGGCCCAGTAGTTTTTGAGTTATCTCAATACATAAAAAATACAAAAATACAAAAAACCTTTCTTCTTTATAATATTAGTATAGATGTCCTTTACATAGTCTACACAATTTTTTGTCCAAACATACCGTAAAACAATAGTTTGTTTTTTCTTCTCGAGGGATCGTTATAAACCCCACAGCCTAATTTAAATTCCCGAGTTTTTAATGTCCTAATGGTGTAACATTGATTGGTTCCTTGATTTACGGTGTGTTTCCTAATTTTGTTGCGGGCCATATAATTTTTACCAAACTATTACTATTAAAGAATGTTTACCTATGATGGATTATTGTGTCAGAAATGCTTTTTTACCTGTTTTTTTACGGCATAGTAATTTTTTTGAAGGCAAACTGAACCTTAGCGTTTTTTGCAGTTGAAAAAAGATTTGCTTTTATAAGACAGTTAAATTAAATCCAAATTAGTAACTTTAAAGAACGCAGTCAATTGTCAAAAGATGGGCACGCTACAACTGTTCTTAGTTTTGTAAATATCAAACATGCGACACTGGACCAATCTTTATTTTTTAATACAACATAAGGTGGCAAACGAGCAAGCAACCGCTGCCCATAAACGTGCGCAATTGCAGATGCGTTACCTACCCTTAATCGACGGAGGAGGAGACGCACATAAAGAGGATGTTTCCTCTTCCTATGCGTCTCCTTCACCATCAAATCCACTTTTCTTTCCCATCCTTTATGAAACTGAACAGAACTGAACTATTGTAAATATAAATATCTATTTTTGTAATACTAAATTTTGTTTATATCTTGTTTCAGTTGGGTTTATGATCCTTGCATTCTATCTGTGGGGTGACCCGTACAAGCGTGGTTTCTTCTGTGACGATGAGTCCCTCAAGCATCCCTACAAGGATTCCACGGTTACTAACGTCATGCTGTACATCGTCGGACTTGGTGTTCCCGTGTTTACGGTAATTAACTCTTCTTACTTTAATTTTGTTTATCTGCCAGGTAAATGTGTTTGTGGTACGGAATTCGGTACTTACTAGAGCAGTATCGAGTGGTAACAAGCATACGTGTTTGTACTTCTAACTTTTGTGCAATTATCAACAAATCATCTAATTTATTTGAAGTTTTAAATAAACTTGCACATATATCGAAGTCCTCAGATAATGTTACTGTATCTTTAGAGACACAAATAATCCTTTGCGAGCACGTCTTTAAAATTGTGCATATATTCTCTATTGTACAAAACAGTTTGTATGCTAGAGAGTTTAGTAAAAGCCATGTCAAATGTAAATCAAAGATAATATTGACTTTGAATGTTTTAAAATCCATTATCCTCGCTCGAACACGTCGTGACAAATATTCTTTGCATGCGTAAATGTAATAGAGTTCTAACTTCATGTATTTTTCATACGAGTGCAAGGGTTCATGGTCGTACAAATATTTACTCTAACGCGTTCATAATTATCTGTTTGCTTGCCCGTTGTTGGAACCTTATCGTCATTATCGATATTACCCCATTTTCGTCGGTTTTGTAAGATTAGACAAGCTTTAAGGGATTACTGACATGATAGTATGACAAGACTTCCGTAGTTACAGTTTTAGTGGAGAATTAGAACAGTTTAGGAGGATTAGGACATGATAGTAATATGGTTCTTCCGTAGTTTACTAAATATTTGAACGTAATAATCTCAAAAAGTAATAAGGTTATCGCAAGTGACAAGGCTTTTGAAATACTAGTATAACAAAGAACTAAATTGTAAGCCCCTTGAGCTAGGAGAAATTTTTTATCGTTTAATGAAAAATATTTCATGGCATTATTCTAAGTGTAATTACCATCATTTAAAGTTCCTCGTTGATGTGAATCAAATAAACGGTATCAATAAAATGGAATACGTTATGATTACCCATCCAAATTATCAGTGGCACAATCGATGAGACCTTGTCACACTAAAGATTGTAAGATACCTTCCAGTCAGAATCCCACGAAACGCCTCATCTATTTTATTACCGTTCAAATTAATGACCTATTTATATGTAAATGATAACATATAAATTAAATTAAAAACACCGTTTGGAATACGTACTTTAGGAAGTATTTCTTGTCAATGTTAATCTCAACTATTAAACTGAGGGCCTTCATTACCTGATTGATAAGTGGTCGATAAACATTTAGTATTTAAAAAAAAATGTGTTTTCTAGTACGGTTACTTTCAATGGTTAAATTTATTGTCGTTACAGATATGACGGTCCTGTTAACCAATAAGTTATTAATGTAATGATCGTAAGATACGGGTTCTTTACCACGATTGAATTGTTTAAGCTCCGGATACTTCGGCAAAGTTGCATGCGCATGTTCACGGGCTGGCTGCCTGGGTGACTGGCTGGCGCATGCAACTGTGCCGAAATATCGGTAGCTAAAACA